TTCTGGAAGGACTCCACTGGGAGCTCAGTTATGAAGTTGTTCTGCAGATAGAGGTAATGGATGCGGGGTGGGATGACAGGGACCTTTCGGAGGTTGCGGCTGTCACAGTAGAGGGCAGATGGGAAATCCGGGGGGCAGTAGCATTCCCGGGGGCAGTCAGGGAAGATTGAGGGAGGGCCTGGTGGGAGGGGAGGGGGCAGGTCTGTAGGCTCCAATGGCTCATGGGGCTGAGAAAAGCTGGGGGTGGGCCTGGGTCTGGGCCTGGGCCTGGGCCTGGGTTTCGGTCGTCTTGTCAGCTGGCCTTGGGCCACTGAGGCCAAGATGAGGAGAAGTGGGAGGAGCCAGCAGAGGGATGACCTCATGATCCAGGTGACGCACCTGCAGGGAGGAGACACAGGGAGTCATTAGCCTTCTGGGCCCTGTAATTAGAGGCCCTGTCTTGGCACGAGAGTTGGCCAGGATGGGCTCCAGAGCGGCCGTGGGAGAGACCTGTCGAAGCATCTCTTCGTCTGCCTGTATCCAGCAGGTAAGAAAATAACAAGGACTTGAGGGTCTGGACTCCCGGCCTACAGGCCTTGCCTGCTCTGGTGAGGATGAGCCATCCTACAGAAAGCACATTGGCTGTGAATCAGGAGCACTGGGGCTTGCTGGAGAAGACCCTTAACCTCTCCAGCACTTGGTCTCCCCACTTGCAGCATAAGCAAATCATCCCTGTTCCTAGAAGAGGGATGTTAGGAGACATGAACCATAGAGTCCTAAGTGGTCCATCTGGAAGGGTCCTTAGAGATCCCATAATTCAGTGATTTTCAGACTGTGCCCCTGTTTCTGTAGAGTCCCCCGAGGGAGGGAGACCGAGTGGGTGGCCCCAGGGCACCGCCAGCTCACCCCTGTGCCAACCTGAGCAGCTCTGTTATATAAAGAGGTTTGGCCAAAGCATGTATTTGAAAGAAACTCCGCATTGCTAAAAATGGTTTGAAATCCACCAATCAAGCCCAGATTCTACTGTTTACAGAAATTGGGTCCTGGAGGGATGGAGTGGCTTGCCCAGGCCAGAAAGCTTGAACAGCAAGCCCAGGACAAAAACCCAGGTCTCCTGCCTTCCAGAGCAGGGCTTGCGGAGGTCCTGGGAAGGAAGGAAAGTGCTGTAGACACACTCGTGTCTTGTGTCTGCCCCTGCTCGCTCCTCACCCCTGCGCTCAGCTCAGGGAACGCTGCTCTTTGCCAGCCAGAGGCACACCAAGAATTTCTCCCCAGATGTGGAGGCTCCTGTGAAAATAAACAGGGCAGGGATCAAAAGCTGTGGGGAAATCACTTTCCTTTCTTCTGACACGTTCTCGCCGCCCCCATATCCACTGGAGCTGGCGGTGTTGAGACTGGATATGAAGAAGAATTTCCTGCTGGCCCTGTGACATAGTGGAATAGGTCACGGAAGGCTATTTTGGGGCCATGCTCCCCAATGGCTCTGGTGAGCCTTCAGATAGGATCATGGGGGTTGAGTTTAATTAAGCTGGAGAAAGAGCAAGAGGACCAGAGCTGCCGACAGAGTGGCAGCTCCCCCCAGCTTCCTCCCCTCACTGGCCAGCCAGCCAGGAGGGGTGCAGGCAGGGGTGGCCTGCACCCTCTCCTCCAAAGGGCCATCAGCCCGATGACGCTCCCCTCTGGGCTACAGCCAGCGTCTCTGTCCCCACACTGCTTCCCCTGGCCCTCCTTGCTGCTTTCTTACGAGGTGATGTCTGCCCCTCCCCTCCTGGGGCCCCGGGACGGGGGATACAGGATTCCCGGGGTTCTCTGACCTAGGGTGGGCCGCCATGTGTCTCCAGCTGCATCTGGACGCTGGGATCCTGCCCCTGTGCCAGGCCTCTCGCTGGCTTTCCTTTGAGCCCCCATCAGCTTGCACTCCTTCCTTGGATGCTTCTTGCTGGCCTTGCTCAAAGGAAGACGATAGAAGCCTCTCACCAGCTGCTTAGTTCTGGGCCAGATGCTCAAAAGGCACCGAATGTGACAAGAAACAGCAGAGAGGGCAGACCTCAACCCGAGGGGTAGAGGGTGTCTCCCTGTACCTTTCACACACACACCCTCCACACCTAATGTGCTCTCTCTCTCAGGCACACACACACACACACACACCTCCCAACACCACACACATAAGCAAACCCATGTTCACATGTCCACTGTGTGTATGTGTGTGAATCCTTACACAGTACTCTGAGAATGGGAGGGAGGGAGGGAAAGAGGGAGAGAGGGAGGGAAGAAGGGAGGGAGGGAGGGAAGGATGGAAGGAAGACTGATGAGGAGAAAGGAGGGAAGAGATTGCCCTGCAGTCTCTGTGGTTCTCCATCTCCCTCTAAGGGGGTCTCTCCCCAGGCAGGCCTCTCCAAGAGGGTCCACGAGGGCCATTTCCCTGGGTCTCCTATCATGAGGGAAAACCGTGCAGTTAGATTCTCGGCTTTACCTCCAGCTGAGGATCCAACAGTCCCACAAGGACTGAAAAGAGCAGACATGCGTTGTAAACTTGAGTCTTGTTGCCGGGCCCCACACCACTTAGGACTGGTGAACTATGAATTAATATTTCATAAGTCCTGTAATTTTCTTGAAAATAGCACAGTCATATACGTTTTAAGGGGGTGGTTAAAGCATTAGTATGCTGAACACAAACATTTTTAAAAGCCCCAGTTTTTGTGACCCTATTTGTTTTGGCATTTCTTTATTTTCTGATTATGTGGGAGCCAGAAATAAGCCAGAAATCCCTCAGGATGTGAAGCTCCGCTTCAGGGAGGCTCCCCATTTCCCTCCCTTGCCTTTGTCACCAAAAGCATCTACCAGGTATTGGGCCTTGAGTTAAGCAAGTAAAACTTGTCCAGAACCTCCAGCAAAGGCTGCTCTGTGGGGCTCCGGGACTGGGCAGCTGGCCTTTGCTCATGGGTGTCTCCGGGGGGGCTCAGGGCCCGGGCAGCCCTGGTGCTCACTGTTAGGAGGGACAGTGCTCCTTCCAACCACAGTGAGCACAGGTCTTCCCCATCCCCAGCTCCTGCGCCAGACCCTTTGGGAACTTCTCTATCTCCCCCCCCACCCGATCCACCTCAGGCCCGTGGCATTCTGGAAGGACTCCACTGGGAGCTCAGTTATGAAGTTGTTCTGCAGATAGAGGTAATGGATGCGGGGTGGGA